TTACAGCCTAAGGGTTGTCAAAAATCAAGTGAGCCATCTGGGGCCAAAGCCATTTTTTGTAGCGTTTTCTTTCCAGCCTCCCATCGCATTGGGACCCCACAACCAGTTAGTGTCCTCTCCCCAACTGTCAGCACAGGCAGCAGGAATCGTGCTGCACACTTCTGCGGAGCTCCACCACAGCCTGTACTGTCAGGGGAAGAATGGCTTCCAGTGAGTCTCTGCAGGTATTGTGCAAGGTCCTCCTGGTTTCCAGCTTCCAAGTGGCTCTCATGACCCCAGTCCACAGAACCTCTGACTCCTTGGGCTTAGTCTGAATTCTCATGTTCTCCGAGTCCTGCCTGGTAGGCCCCCAGAGAGAGTCCCCGGCACACGGGGAGCCACGGGCGGGGAGTGCCAGTCTCCCGGATGGCTGGCTTCCTTCCTTGTAGGCCCCTGGAGGGAGGGCCCCTGGCACACCGGGAGCCACAGGTGGGGAGCAGCTGCTCCTCCACAGACTCTGGACCTTTCTGGTTCTCAATGGCAGGAGCAAGAGTGGCCCCTTGTATGGCATGTATTCCCAGGGGTTTCTCCATGTTTGAATGGTTCATACACATCCGTGGGTGGGCATCTGCAGCTGGTGCATGGTGGGCCAATTGTGTCACTGTTTCTCTGTGTCATGATAGTTCTCAATTGAGCGGTGGCTGGCCTGAGGGCAGGCGCGCAACAGCGCTCACCGCAGCATGGCTCCCCATGCACCAGGGGCCCTCCCTCCAGGGGCCTACGAGGCAGGAAGTGAGCCAGCCAGGAGACTGGCGCTCCCCGCCCGTAGCTCCCTGTGCGGGCCCCTCCTGCTGGGGGCCTACGAGGCAGGGAGTGAGCTGCTGGTCGGAAGAGCGGCGTTCCCTGCCCGTGGCTCCCCGTGCATGGGGGGCCCTCCCTCCAGGGGCCTACAAGGCAGGAAGCGAGCCAGCCAGAAGACCGGCACTCCCCACCCGTGGCTCCCCGTGTGCCAGGGGCCCTCTCTCCGGGGGCCTATTAGACAGGATAACTCTTCCAATAGACTATTTCACTAGCAATAGCAGTGCTGCCCCCAAAAAAGGATATTTAGATTCTCCCACCTTTTTTGCACCTCACTACATTATGAGCTGCTTGTCAAATTCAATAGTGACAAGAAAACTAGACAATTTCTAGCATTTGGTCAGCATCCTTGACAGGTTAGGCACATGCTCTCCTCCCAGCCAAGATGAGCTCTGTTAACTTTGACACAACACCAGGGCACTGCTAGAGCATGAACAGTACAGACTGTTTATATACTGTTGAGTTTTCTCTCAGTTCCAGATTTAAAAGGTACCATGTTTATGAAGTGTTTCCAAATAGCTTAGTAAAGGTGTTCTGAATATGTTATTGAGTACAATAACACAATTCTATTTTATATATATATATATATATATATATATATATATATATATATATACACATCTATCTATCTATGTACCTATATGAATTTTTGGAAACAGGGTCTTACTGTGTAGTGCAGGCCAGCCTTGAACTTGCTTATGTAGCCCAGGCTGGCCTCAAACTCATGGTGATCCTCTTGCCTCCTGAGACTGGGATTACAGGTATATGCCACTATGTCCAATAAAGTATCTATTTTGAAGCCCAAGGCAAATATTAAATATAGTTCACATTTTTAAAGTAAGGCTCTCTCCAAAGTTTTGAATAATGCAATAACACGTATTATTGTAATAAAAGTGATATAATGATAGATTAGAAAAATCCATGTTTATCCTATAAAACCTCCAAAGCCAGATTTAAGCTTTGTTTCCTAGAGTTTGTCTTCTCTTAGTTCCTAGAAAGAAAATACCAAAGCATTATTTAATACTTAGTAAACGTTTATACAGCAGAAGTTTATAAATTAGTAAAGTCAATGACAACCACAGCCCACATCAAATTTGCCAGCCAAGCGTGGTGATGGATGACAGTAATCCCAGCACTTGGGAGGCTGAGGCGGAAGGACTGTTGCAATTTGAGGCCAGCCTGAACTACATAGCAAGACCCTTCTCGAAAAAAAAGGCAAGCCGGGCATGGTGGTACATGCCTGTAATCCTAGCACTTGCGAGGCTGAGGTAGGGGGATCCTTGCATTTCATGGGCAGCCTGGGCTACAAAGTGAGCTTAAGGCCTGAATAGCATAACAAAACTCTGTCTCAAGAAAGACCAAGGGGCTGGGGATTTAGCTCAGCAGCACAGCACCTGCCTGGCAAGCTCAAGGTCGTGAGTTCAATTCCTGGTACCGGAAGAAAAACAAAAACAAAAAAAGACCAAAAAAAAAAAAAGCTACCACATAAGGCAAAGATTCAGTGAAATAACATAGGAAATGCTTTGTGTTAGTCTTGGCACACAACAATTTATTAGCACGCTATTCTGATACATTTAATGGATTACAGCTATAGCAAGCCAGTATATAAACAGGAAACCCTTTTAAAGAGTAACCCATAGTGTCCAATAGCTTTCTCACCCGGCGTGTACACTGGGCATTATTAGCATTTCAGCTGGCACTCGTTTTGGCCCTCTTTTGAATACCTTCAGTCAGAAGAACTCCATGCTTCATTCCAAGGGCTGCTTGAACAACAGTCTTTCCTGCCCAGCCTGGCAACCTCTCTGGAGCTATGGAAAAGGATCCTGCCTGCCAGATATGGACCAGGCCTCTTTCTTTGGATCCTTCTGCCTCTGTTGAGCTATAAATATTAAAAAAACAAAACAACAACAAAAAGACTTAATTCTTCCAGTAATTCAGAGCTGTATCTTTTGTCCTTAAAATTTTTCTTGAGGTTGTACCCCTTAGAAGCAGACACGTGACTGGATCAGACAGCTTGATTAGCACCTACTTTATGTTTTGGTTAAGACACAGGAGCCAAGGCGAAACATTTATATACAAGCCTGTAGAATAATCTACAGCAACTAATTACTTCTCTCTAAGCAGTAAATAAAACCTTGGCTATTTTTGAAAGTTTTATAATTTGGCAGCATAAAATTTCAAGATACTAATTCTCTCATCACTAACATCACTTTTGAAATACAAAAATTACAGCATACCTCAAGTTGAAGTCTTTATTTTAAATTTTTTGTTCATAATTGGTAAAGGGTATCGGAAGAGAAAGATTTGAGGAATAGAATTCTTGTACTTTAAACTGAGTTTAAATTTATAACCGCAGTTTAATTATGGGTTACAGTGTATATTTCAATACATTTATACAATGTGTAATCATCAGATGAACAAATCAGGGTAAATAACATTATCAACTCAAATGTTTATTATTTGGTTGGGTTGGGAATATTTAAAATCTGACACAAGCTGTTTTAAAATACACAATTTAAAAAAAAAAAATACACAATTAGTTTTTGTCACTCAGTCACCCTACTGTGCTACAGATAGAAGATGCCCTTTCTACCCACCTGCGCCTTGTACCTGGTAGCTTTTCTCTCTGCATTGCCCTTCAGGCTCATTCTTTCCTACCTCTGTAACCATTACTCTACTCTCTGCTTCTATGAGATCAACATTTTAATTTTCATACATGCAAAAACTTATAAACATGTTCTTTCTGTGTGTTTATTTCACTTAACAAAATGTCCTCTAGTTCCATCCATGTTGTTACAAATGACAGGATTTCATTATTCTTCCTGCCTGAATATATCCCATTGTGTACATATACATTTTCTTTACCCAGTCATTCATCAAAGCACTCTTAGATTGATACCATCATATCTTGGCTACTGTGAATAGAACAATAATCCTAAAAGTGTCGGGTATGGTGGTGCACACCTGTGATCCCAGCACTTGGGAGGCTGAAGCAGGAGGATCACTGTGAATTCAAGGCCAGCCTGGACTACATAGCAAGACCCTGTCTCAAACAAACATCATAGGAGTACAGTTATCTCTTCTATACACTGATGTCCTTTCCTTTGGACATCTATCCCATAGTGAGATTGCTAAATCATATATAGCTCTTCTTCTAGTTTTCTGAAATACTATCTTCCATTACTCAGATTTAAGAATTAAGTGTGCAGTGAGTGAAATCCTTCATATTTTATTCATGTTCTAGACAAAGAACTCCATCCACATGATTACTTTAGTTCAAATAATATAAACTAAACAGCTGCATAACAATGATCATAACCTAAATTACCCCTCTTCTAAGAAAAGAGCACATTAAACTGGCATGGTGGCAAGCCCCTGTAATCCTAGCACTCTGGGAGGCTGAGGCAAGAGGATAACAGGTTTGAGAACAGCCGGGATAACTTAGTAACTTAGTGAGACCCTGTCTCAAAATAGAGCATTTTACGAAAAGGGCTGGGTATGTGACTAAATGTGAAGGCCTTGGATTCAACCCTTATTATGAAGAAAAGCAAAGATGAAACAGAAAAGGAAAGTAAAAAAGAAGAGAGAAAAAGACACATTAAGATATGCTGACCAGAGCGGGGTGTGGTGGCGCACACCTGTAATCTCAGCACTTGGGAGGCTGAGGCTGGAGGATTGTTGCGAGTTAGAGGCCAGCCTGGTCTACAAAGTGAGCTCAAGGCCAGCCTGAACTGCATAGTGAGACCCTGTCTCAAAAAGACAAAAAAGATTCTGACCAGGCATGGCAGCATATGCCTGAAATCCTAGCTACTCAGGAAGCTGGGAGATCAGAAGTTTAAGACCAGCCCAGGTAACTTAACAAGACTTTATCACAAAGAAAACAAAATTAAAAGGGCTCAGTACTACCCAGATTCAATCTACACACACACACACACACACACACACAGTATTCAGTGTTTCTTTTAAAGTTTTCTTTCATGTCACACTGATGGTATGCATGTGTCTATTTTTCATTTTTATTTTTTTAAAACACAGTTAAAGTTTTAATGAGGTACCGAAGTTTTTGGAATACTTAACAATCTCTCTACTTTTGCTAAGCAATGTTCTTTCTTTGGGAGGGGAGGGTTTTGAGACAGGTTCTTAGGTAGTTCGGGCTGGCCTTGAACTCAGCATGTAGCCCAGGCTACCTTCAAACTTGCAGTGATCTCCTGCCTCAGTCTCCCAAGTGCTGAGATTACTGGAAGGCACCACTGTGCCCGGCTAAACAATGTTCTCTTAAATTAGAATTAAGCATACCTATGGTACTATGGAAGAAAAGGTACAACCTCCTGAGTGCTGAGATTATAGGCTTACACCACCACACCTGGCCCATGACTAATTTTGTAAGGACAGAAGATTATAATTAATAAGCTTCCTTCTGAAGACTTGAAATTTGTGAAAGTTGTCCACAAGAAATTTAAAATGATGAAATGAAGATATTCAATAAATTTACAAGAAACTAGCATCAAAGCTCATCAGTAATCAGATTAAATATTTTTCTCTATCAATCAACTACAAATGTTACTGAGTGTTTCCATTTAACATTTATCAACAAGAAAATTAAACTGAAGAAATATTATGCCCACGTGGAACTATTTGTTGTGTTTCCCTAGGCTGCCAGAGAAGAAATGATTTTACCTTCTCTTCTTTGAGTCCATCGGTCAGTAGGTACACCCCATCACCAACTTATCCCCTCTTTGCAAAAGGTGTATCAAAGCCTAAATGGGAGAACACAAGGTAAGCACAAAGAGCAGTAAGGAATGCTTTTATCCCTCAGATTAGAGAAGGGTAGGGGGAGGAAGCCAGCCCTCTAACAAGTGTACATTCACTGGGCAATAAATACACATGAAACTATTTGAACTATTTCATATTCTGCCCACTGAAGTCAAATATTTAGACTGAGCCTGCTCACTGAGCTTATAAAAATGCCTTCTGACCACCACACATAATGTGGAAGAAAAGACTACCTACAATTAGGCTGCACTGTTTGAGGCAATAAATTTATTTTTTATTACAAATAAGGTACATCAATCTGAAAACCATTGAGTTAAATTTAAAAATTATATTCATATTAATGGCATTTTTAAATGACTGCAAAATATATGAAGAATGAAATATCAGTTAACCGAGAAAGCTGTTTTTAAAATCTCCTTAGGGGCTGGGAAAGTAGCTCAGTGGCACAGTGCCTGTCTGGCAAGCCCAAGGCCTTGAGTTCAATTCCTAATACCAAAAAAGAAAGAAAGAAAGAAAAAAGCCCCTTAAGAAAATGTCCTTTGTAATGGATCAGATTCTAGTAATTTTAATTTACATTTTCAGGAATGCACAAAAAATTAAATCATTAAAACCAAGTTTTCTGTTTAGTGGAACTAGCAGTATTTTCTCCAAATTAACCTCAAGCCAAGACTAGCAGACTAGCATGCTCTATAATTCATAGGGCTGGAAGAAGTTTTTTTAAAAACAGCTCTTTTAAAATTCACCATTAAAAACAATAAAATTCACCAAAGGAAAAGAACTACACAAAAATCACTAAACATCATGCCCAATTGGTTTAGAAACTCAGTGTTGAATAAAACAAGAAATAAAGAAGCAGAAGAAATGATCAGTACATTTCAACCCGGCACCAGAACTCATGAAAGCAAAAGCAACAAACTCTTATTTGTGGAGCCAGGTGTGGTGGCACATGCCTGTAACCCCAGCACCCGGGAGGCTGAAGCAGGAGTACCACAAGGTTAAGGCCTTGCTAGACTACATGGTTTTGTTTTGTTTTTTTTGAGACAGGGTCTCGCTACGCAGTTCAGGCTGGCCTTGAGCTCACTTTGTAGCCCAGGCTGGCCTCGAACTCGCAGTGATCCTCCTGCCTCAGCCTTCCGAGTGCTGAGATTACAGGTGTACACCACCACACTCAGCAGACAGATTACATGTTGAGTCTGAAGCCAGTTTGGACTACACAGTGAGACCACACCTCAAACAAACAAAGTGAGGCCAAATCTGTGATTTTTCTGCAAGAGGACATGGCACGGCCACCGAGATCTAGAAATAGCCATACCAGCAGGAGCCACCTAGGTCCATCTGTTTACTCCAGGTTGCCTGTGAATTCTTACTGTTTTCCATCTGCATATTAGGAGGAAATTACTTTTTACTTTATGCTTATTTTAGAAATATTTTGAATCATTGAAAATGACACATACTATGTAAACAAGATACATCTGATCAACCAAACCTTATAAATTTAATGAACACAACGCTCAAGTGCTACTATGCTTTGTGTGTGATATTAACCTGCTTCATTAAAACGTATTTCATTCTGCTTCTTGCCTCTATGCCTGAGCATCTCGCCTTAACCACGCCACTCTGCTGTGCTCTCCTGCCTTGGAGTCAGCTGACAATGGACCGAGACCTCTACAAACAGCAAACTTGAACCTTTCAATCTTTTTTGTATCACCAGGAAGAGATGAAATTTACAGAACAAGAGAAAAGGCATGGTCTGGGTATTATTTTTCTTAGTGAATTGTAAAGAAGAATATCAAAACAAAAATTCCAATTTACATCCCAGTTGCTGCTGTGGTACTGACTGCACAGGTATGTCAGTTCTATTGGTAAATGTGTGTGTAGGATGTCAGAGAAATGCATTCTGGGGCATTTTTGCATTTTGCATCATTAAATCGGGTACGTGTGGTTCTCTTTTCTTCAGAACCCAGTGGTTACATAGTAGAGATGATGATTATCTACGGTCTGAGGTCAATGCATTAGAACCATGAATCAACTGAGGCCAACCCTCAGGTATGAAACAGGATGGAATTTACCCTGAAGGGTTTGGAAACAACTCTGGATCAAGATGGTCAAAGGAGCATAAAAATTGTGTTTTTTCTCCACGTCATAATGATCAAAAAAAAAAAAAAAATCACAAAAAGTATAAACCCACAATTGCATCAAAAACTGAAAAAGATGCTTGGCATGATGGCACCTGCTTGTAATCCCAGCACTTGGAAGGCTGAGGCAGAACGATCACTGTGAGTTCAAGACCAATCTGGGCTGCAAAGGGAGCTCAAGACCAGCCTAAACTGCAGAGCAGAACCCTATCTCAAAAACACAAAAAAAAAAAGAAAAGAAAAAAAAAACCCAGAAAGCAAAAAAACTTGAAAAAGTTATCATTCAAAGACCAAAAAAAGAAAATGATGGCAGATAGTATAAATTAAATACCTAAAGAATGAAGGAACAAGTGAATGGTAAGTTGACATTTAAAAACATAAATGAAAGAGAAGTAGCAAAATAAACACACTGACATCTGACTTTAAAGGAACACACGAAATTCTCCTATGAACAAATGGAATTTTGAATAATTCTGATTAGTATCCTCAGAGAAATTACCAAGACTGTCATATTCACAAAATGTAGTAGTATTCTGCAAAAACAGGAATTTACAAAGATAAAAATTTAAGTTCCTGAAATTTACAAAATTACATCAGTATAGAATTTTTCAATTGTATGAAAAGATATAAAATAGGTTGAAAGGAAATTCGGCTGAAATTAGTGATCTGATGTAAAAGTTAAGAAGTGGTTATCGTGTTATGATATAGATTAAAAAAAAATATGCTGAAAACAGAAAGAGACCTGAAGACACATCTGGTACACACAGTCACAATCTAGGATCAATTCAGTGTGCTTCTTCTAATTGGACAGCATGGTAGAGATTAAATTTATCTTTAGTTTCAAAAAAAAAAAAAAACAACAGCTGGGTGTGGTGGTGCACACCTGTAATGCCAGCACTGGAGGCTGAGGCAGTAGGGTCACTGCAAGTTCCAGACCAGCCTGGGCTACAAAGTGAGCTCAAGGCCAGCCTGAACGGTATAGCAAGACCCTGCCTCAAAAAACAAAAAACAAACAAAAAACCAAAACCAAAACCAAAACAACAACAACAGGAAAAACTTATTTCATGGTGTTCCCCAAGTCTGCAGCCAGATCTAATCTCTGCTCATCTTTCAGAGATCAAGGGGTTGCTGTGTCCCTGATGAAATTTCAGCAGTTACCAGTGGAAGCCATAGAACCCTGTGATGGGAGGCGGAAGTGCTTTCACTTCTCTCCACAGATTCGTCAGATGTGAAGCAAACTTCGTCCTAACTCCTGATAATTAAAAATCCCATAAATCTTTTGGTAAAGTGAGTAAGGTCACCAATATTTACTCTCCTAGTGTCACATTTTTCAACAGAGTTTTCTTAAAGTTGAATACATAGTCCATATTATTTATCACCATCATTAATTTTTTTAAAGCTCAAATAAAATTAAAACTGTACTAGCTGCTGTGCAACTTTCATTTTTTACTCACTATATACGGTAGGCAGAATATTAGTTCCCAACGATGTCCAAGTCCTAAGTGAATGTTAGGTTACATGGTACTAATCAGTTGACTAGGAAGGTGATCCTGGTTACCCAGTTGGGCCAAGATAATCACAAGAGTTCTTCAGAGTGGAAGAGGGAAGCAGAGGGAGAGTCAGGGACACAGATGTGATGATAGAAGTTGGGTCAGAGTGATGCTAAGTGGCTGACTTTGAAAATGGGAGAATGCCAAGCCTGCATAGAGACCCTGTCTCAAAAAGACCAAAAAAAAAAAAAAAAAAAAAGGAAAGAAAGAAAATGGGAGGGGCTGGGGATTTAGCTCAGCGGCAAAGCGCCTGCCTGGCAAGTGCAAGGTTGTGAGTTCGGTTCCCGGTACCGGAGAAAAACCAAAAAAAAAGAAAGAAAATGGGAGATGGTAGGTGGCAAGCAATGTGCATGGTTTCTAGCAACTGGAGAGGGAAAGGAAAAGAATTCTCTAGTAGCGTGTTTTTGTTTTAAAAAGCATCTATGCAGATACGTCAGTTCTGACGTAGCCAAGACCCGTGTGGGACTTCCATCCTACAACTCTATGGCAATATACTTGTGTTTTTTTAAGCCACTAAGCTTGCAGCAAAATTTGTTATAGTAGCAACAGAAAACTAATATACTATCTCAGAATTTTTCTTTATTCACATATTTATAAATCTGTTTCATCTGGCTGAAACAATACTTCATGTTAGACTTCTAAAGAGACATGCGTGATGGTGAATCCTGATCGTCAACTCGCTAAGCTTGAAAAAACTTGATCAGTAAAACTCTTGAGTGTCTCTGGTGGGTCACAGGAGAGTGACCTCGGGGCACCTGGCCACTTTTTCTCTGGCTCTTTCCCTCTCATTCTGCTTCCTGGATGCCATGATGTGGCCAGCCTCCCTGACAAGCCGTTCTGTCATGACATTTCAGCCCCAGAGCTAGACAACTTGGACTGAAACCTCTGAACCAAAATAATCCTTTTCTCCTTTGAAGTTCTTCAAGCCAGATACTAAGTCCCAGCAAAGAAAAGCTGATCAAGACACCATGAACAGGACAATAAGAGAAATGGCTGCTAAGGAAATATGACTAAAAAGGAGTGCTTTGGTTAAACGTGGGATGTTTCACAACCTCTCAAATAACATTTAAACTTCTTTATGTTCTTTCATTGTTGTACATTGTAAATTGTTATAAATTGTCTAGCCATGGTGCTTCCTCTGGGGATATTTCTCTACGGGCAAACTTTCAAGTCCTCCTTCTGCGTTCCTTCTGGGGACAGCATTCGTGTTGCTTTTCTTCTGTTAAGGAATTTGTCTCCACCTATATTATATTAGCCTATTTTATGTTAACTTGCTCTGATAAAGAGGCTATGTGGTACTGTATAAACA